CCCCGCCTGCCTGTCTGCCTGCCCTCCCGTGCAGTGTTTCTCCTATCTGGGTATGCTTTTCAGTGTTTTTGTTTTTAATCATAACTCAGTTCCCCAGCTGGCATGACTACAGACCAGCTGGGAGAATTTAGAAGTTGTACTCCAGAAAACAAATATGGCAAAGCTTTAGCAATGTGGTGCTAGAAGAACCCTCTTTTAATGGTGTTCATCAACCATAGGTCTTCATATGCCTTCTCAGTAGTCTCTGAAGGCATTTGTAGCTAAGACCTAGACTGTCCTGGTTCACATGCATCCTCACAGCTTGATTTAATGCACTGTGCTGAAAGTGATGCAAGATAGTTTATTTACTTTTAGACCAGATTACCACCACCTACGTGTATTGGCTGTCTTCCTTCCAAAGCAGAAAACTGTGCTGGCAAAGGATAGCCTGACAAGGTGAAGAGTCAAGTGGTCAGTTCCTCCAGTAGAGTGTTTAACCATTAGTGAGGCTGCCTGCCAGGAGAGAGGAAAACCTAGGTGAGGCTTTGGCGGGAAATGGTCAGAGAAGGAGCAAGTCTTGATGGCATTCCAGAAGGTTTGTTGGACATCAGAGCCACAACCATCTGGTTCAGGAGTAATTGGCCATATGATGCCACAGAAACTGGTTGGAACAATCCATCAAGGCCCAGGGAAATGGGAGAAAGGGTTAGCATCACTGAGGTGCTATGCTGGTTGTCACATGACTTACACTGGCATAGGAAAGAAAGGGGGTCTGGCTTGAGTCTTGAAGAGCTGAGGCAATGTACCTTCTAATTTTCATCCCTGCTGGGCAGGGCTCCTGCCTTTCTCGCCTGTGACTTCACCTCTTCAGGCATGCGTGACTCTGAGCCCCCCCCCCCAAGCATAGGTTTCTGTTGCAACTGGAACCAAAGGAGTTGAGCATGATCACTGCATGGAAGAATAAGAGAGCTGCGTGGAGGGAGGTGGAGTCAGCTGTGCCCAGCCTAGAGTGAACCTTGGGCTGAAGGGAAGATTTGCCCTATGAGTCACTGATGATTGACTGAAATGCAACTGGGTGGAAAAAGAGCTGCATTAAAGCTAAATCCTGTCCCCCCCCCCAAAAAAAATCTTGATTAGAAATGGCTGCCTTTCCTTCTGTGTGCCTCTTGTGCTCAGTATTCCTCCATAACACTCCTGCCCATTCTCTCCTCTTGAAACATCTTTTTTCCCTTGGCTTTTTTGCAATATGTGGAATTCAAGCAGATATTCTTTCTTTCCACAGATGATCTTGGCAAGAAAGGCCAGTAACCAATGTCAGAAGCAACAGCCCCAGAGAGAGGACCTTCAGCTTGGTGGCCCAGAGGGCAGGCCACCTCTTAAAGCCCACTGGGAGGCACGAGGGGGGCCATGTCCCATTCCACCAAAAAGCTCCCCAGGGCTCCTGGGTGCTCAGGGATCCTATGAAGCTGCCCAGCGAAAAGCAGATGAGACAAGAAACCTCTGCCCAAGGCCAAAGATCTGTTCCACCTCCCAGAGTATGTGCTGCCTCCCAGTATGTGAAATCTTTGGGGTGAAGGGGAGGAAGGGGAAACACACGGTCTCCTGTGACCTTTGCCTACCACTATTTTCTCTTGCATGTGAGGTGAGAAGCTGTCGCAACCAAAGCCACGCCAGGGTTAAAATCCATGTAGGCTGGACTAGGGAAGTAGCCCCTACTATGCCATATGGAAAGGTTTGAGGGCAGGGGGGTGTTCTGGATACTGCTGCAAGATTTCAGCTGGCCAAAGTCTGGGGAGGTGGGCAATCTGCTTTGCCTAAGACAGGAAAAGGCTCTGTTGAATGAGGAAATATAGAGGCAAATGGTGGCTGAGGAGTTCCCGTAGCCATGGGTATGAGGGGTGCTGGCACAGACTGCCGGGGTCACTATTGCTGGCTTGTGCTCATGCACCGTTTGGCTGCATCTAAGAGAGACAACTGAGCATTCTCCCACTTGCTGTGAGCCCAAGTACTTGTTTAGATATCTTTTCTTATGGCTAGCATGGACATGCTAGCAAAATTGAGAGAGACTTGTTAACACAACCCCAGACCTGTTGGGGTATAGAACTCAGGTTCATTTTTCTTATGCTGAAACACAACTGTCTGGCCATGGTTTTCATTGTGGCCAAGTCTCTAACGTGGCTTGGGTTGTTGGGGCTTTTTGCACACACCAGGCTAGACTTTTCCAAGATGAGCAGTTCCGGCAGCTTTACTTGGCCCTCAATGGAAAAATATTGGAGTTGGTGTTCAGGTGATAACAGGCATCACAGAACTCATTGCGGTTCTCCTATTCTTGATTGGTGACTCCTTGGTTGAATTTAGAGTAATCTGGGCTCCTAATCCATGGGTTGCTGGAGTAGGATCCATTCCAGGAGCCTAGTAAAGCCAAATAGTTATCTGAGAGCTCCTAGAAATTTTCCTATTACTCTCATCATCAATCCTGGGATAGAAAGATGGCTGTTGACATTTTCACCCATCTGATCCTGCAGATACAGCCAGTCAAGACACTTCTTGGCACTTGCTTGATGGCTGTTTGATTGGAGCAGCCTGATGACTTGAACAGAAATGTTGGAGAGGGGAGACCATCCTCTCTTGAATTTGGCACACAAACCCATCTATGGCTTGTGGCAGCTTTCCGATGTGGATGGCTGAGCAATTGGGGGAATGGTGAATGCTGCGTTTTGGGCTGAGAGGCTCAGGAGGATTAAAAATGGGAGCCAATGATCCTATATTGCAGAAGCCTCTCTTCATCCCACCAAGAGCTACTTCAGCTGTCTTCTTTCTGGAGCCAATCTGAAATGATTGTCGAGAGTTTGTCAGCCTGTTGGGACTTAGGATCAGAGATGAGGAGGCACTCCTTGTTTGACTTTCTCACCTAGGAATCTACCCAACCATTTTGGGGCCACATACTGCTGAAGCCTACTTTGTAGGGTTTTGAGCATAACCTTGCTAGCATGTGGAGTGCAATTATATGGTAGTTGGAACATTCTTTGGCACTGCCCTTCTTTGGGATTGGGATGTAGACTGATCTTTTCCAATCCTCTGGCCACTGCTGAGTTTTCCAAACTTGCTGGCATATGGAGTGTAGCACCTTAACAGCATCATCTTTTAAAATTTTAAATAGTTCATTTGGAATGCCATCACCTCCACTGGCCTTGTTGTTAGCCATGCTTTCTAGGTCCCACTTCACTCTCCAGGATGTCTGGCTCAAGGTCAGCAACCACACTATCTGGGTGGTCCGGGATATCTAAATCTCCCTGGCATAATTCCTCTGTGTATTCTTGCCACCTCTTCTTGATGTCTTCTGCTTATGTGAAGTCCCTCCCATTTTTGTCTTTTATCATGTCCATCTTTGCGCAGAATGTTCCTCTAATGTCTCCAGTTTTCCTGAACAGATCTCTGGTCTTTCCTTTTCTGTTATTTTCCTCTATTTCTTTGCACTGTTCATTTAAGAAGGCCCTCTTGTCTCTCCTTGCTATTCTTTGGAAGTCTGCATTCAGTTTTCTGTAACTTTCCCTATCTCCCTTGCATTTTGTTTCCCTTCTCCTCTCTGCTATTTCTAAGGCCTCGTTGGACAGCCACTTTGCTTTCTTGCATTTCCTTTTCTTTGGGATGGTTTTTTTTTGCTGTCTCCTGATGCTGATCCTGTTGCTGTCTACAGATACAAAGGCTTTATTTAACAATATCAATGCAACTGCTAGGAGAAAGATATTTAACAATTTACAAGAATGAATGAACAAAAGAGCAAAAGAGAGTATTGCCACCCAATAAATCATTTTTGTATGGTATCAAACTCCAGCCCTATCAAGAATCCTTTAGGATTTCGCTCTTAACTGTTGTAAAGTTCTCCTTTTAATTGAAAGAAAGACTGGCTAATCCTAGTTAGCAAAACATTGCTGGAATGATGAAGCATGGGCTCCAGTGTGCCCTAGCTTCAGTTTTCTACCCGCAATGGAAATTTCACTCGTTGTGAGGTTCAGCCTGTGCTCTCCAGAGAGATACCATTGTGTTCAGGTCAAATCACACTCAACTGTGAGTAGTCTTGCAATCAAATCTACCCCAAAATTCTAAATTGAAATTGCTTCCCCAATGGAAAGACAGTCCTGTGTTATCTTGAAGACATGTGTTTTTAATGCACAAACCTTTGTGGATTGTAGCTAACTTAAATCAAATAGATTTTCTCTTCTTGTGAGCTATTAGGTCAATTTTGATTTATGATGACCCCAATAAGCTTTTGAAGGGATGTGAAATGTTCAGGCCGTGGTTTACTATTGCTATCTCTCTGTGAGTTTCCATGGCTGAGTAACAATTTGAATCCAGATCTTCCTAGAGTACTACATCACACTGGCTTTCAAATGAATT